CACTGTGTCACCATCAATCTCCAACAATGAAATGAGATTAAAAATAGTCAAACGATTTACAAGTCTAACTTCATAAAGTAGCTTTGGTGTAATAGGAATAGTTCTAAAATTAGTATGTAAATGACTAGGTTTGACTACAACCATAATTGTGCTATTTTTATTTTTTAGTCTCTAATCTCTAGGCCCTCTAGCAAATTCCTTCCCAATCTTCAAAATCATACTTTTCAATCCCCATTCTTTGGTTCTATTTATTTGTCATTTTAACATAATTCGGTTGATTTTAATTTCCTCGTGCGAGTTAAGAATCTAAAGTTAGCAAACACCACCTAAATGAATAATCAGATTATCACTCTAAATTCACATCCCCTGCTTTCGAATATGTTTGTTGAGTAGAACATTCAGATTCCTCGTTGACTGTCAATAATCCAAGCCAAGTTTTTGAATTTGATAGTTCAGAATATTAAGTAGAACTTTGAAGGAGTTAGAAACTGATTACATGGAAAGATGACAAGAGCATACGATAATTGGTAGAGACTACTCGAAGCGATGCCGAAGAAAGAAGAGCTCCGGCATGTTGCTTGTGAAGAATCGATGTCCAGCTCCACGACTTCAGACTTCTCTGGGAATTTCCATTTGAAAGAATTGTCTCTTCATTCAAGAATATGGGAATTTTGTTTAGTTACAAACAGATTATCCAGACGATGGGGTACTTGAGTGATGCAAACTAAATCGAGCACGGTCAATGTGGCAATATCTTCTAGGGAGCTTTGGAAGAACTAATTTTTGTTAAAAATAGCAATGGAATTCGAGATTTGACTTGTGTTGTTGTCAAAAGTTTTATTGATTGGGATGCTTGTTTGGTAGAGTTGGATTTCTCTAGCAAGATTTCTAATTGAAGATTTGTTCCTCGTTTGGGACATTGTTTGGATGAAGCGTTGGAAAATAAAATGGATCGAGGTAATATATATGACACAATATGACATATATGATTGAAAGCAAACAACAAGATAAAAGACAAAGATTAACTGGCAGAAGAACGGAGAATTTTGTTCGTTTCAATAATGAATCAGCTTATAAAAAAAGCCAACTATATGTAGGGGACATATTAAAATTTCGAAAATATTTTTAAAGATGGAAATAGTATAAAAGATACGTGGAATAAAGGAATCAATATTTTTCCAAAAAAATCCAACCTATTTTGGATTTAAAAAAAAATAAAATCCATGAATAGGACAAAAAGTTTCTGGTTTACACGTGTATATAAAATGCAGATTTATCTTGTTCCTTGTTTAAGAAACCTGATGACCATAATGATAGACTACCATCGCTGGATTGGATTACGAGGTCAAAAATTGTAATTGGGGTTTTAGCATTTCTACATATGTACTTCACCTCTTGCTCACAGGTACCCATTACTCGATTCTCATTAAATTACGAATGCTCCTATTAATTATTACTTTATTTTTGATATGTTTTGTCTTCACAGTAGTCTTAAAACACTAACAACAAACTAAGACTGCATAAATTTTTCGTTTTTACTTCGTCCGCTAAACTTTTAGATCTTTGTAGTAAGAACAGTTTCTCTGCATTCTTAGGGAAGTACAAGCCAGCAGCATATTGCTTGATGTCAATTTTGAAGTGCGGTTAGGGAGACTAAGCCAGGTTGGTGCTCAAGGAAGAGACATTCCTACTGGTATGTACAATTTTTCCTTGTCTGCGCACCCTACTACTCAATATGATAGTAATGCTATTTAGTCTCATTGGTGCTTAACAATCTAGGTAACAATTAGATGGCATTGAATGAATGGTAGGTACATTTAAATACAAAATCGAATAGTCCATTTAATTGGACCTATCAAGTGTGGCCACATAGATGGGTGCTCGCTAGCATTACTCCTTTAGTAAATTCTACTATAAAAACCTGATGGTTAGTAACGCAGATGATTCCTTAATAAGTTTGATTATGTCATACCATGTGACATTTTTTGTCACGTATATTGTCCTGACACATTGTTAGGTGTCAATCTGTGATGATTGATGTGAATAGATGATAAATTAAAAATGGGTATTTTAGTTTATCGATTTTAATTAGATTAAAATTAAGGAATTATTATGATTAATGATTGTAACATACCAAGAAAGGTCTAGATGCTGGTTGGTCATTGTTCCATTGTGACTAAGATAGGATCAGTAGTGACCCAACTAAAAAAATGTGAAAACATTAATTGAATATAATCAAAACATTAATTGAAATTAAAATGTGGAAATCCACCTTTGATTTAAGTTTATGGAAATACAGGTATATGTACAATAAATAGATATGATTAACAACATTAACAATGCATGGTGTGGTTATAGAGTTAGCAATCTATTAAAATTTGAAATTAAAGGGAGTGGCGTTCGCATGGACTTCATTTCTTATACATGTATTTGTTAATTAATAACTAAAAAGAGGCATTTTAAATCAAAATGAAGAAGGGGTATTGTATAATGCAATTTATAGTTTTATAACTCGGTTTTATCTTAAATTTATATCCGAACTTTTTTTTTTTTTTAAAAACTTATCCAAACAAGTTGTATTCAATATATGTTGAGCATCACCCGCCCGAACTCTCCCGAAAATTCTCTACGTATTGAGAAAAAGAATGCTTTGACTGAGTGCAATTTGTCATGAAGGCACTAAGTGTAAGTTTAGCAAGGAGGTGTGTTGGAACACTTCGTTCTAGCCCTTCGTTAATGTTCAAATATATACGAAATGTTGGTATATTTTACTTTCATTTTGTTCTTTTGTTTTTTCTCCCAACCAATTTGAAATGCTCCAACGCTTAAACGCTTGAGCTCATATCTGTTCTGTCGAGTTTCTTGTTTCAATATTCTTCCACATTTTTGAGTCGATATCTAGATTGATTTTCAAAACATTGGCTGATATAGAAACTTTTTCTACATAAACCAAAATGATCAGAGAGAAATTTCAAAAAATTCTTAATGAATGAAAATCACATAGCCAGGTAAATAGATTTTACATTTATATATGCGCTTGCATTCATAAAAGGATTCACCTTGCCAACAGTTTCTGAATTGAAATATAAAATTTATGGAATCAAATTTGTTAGTGGGCTATATATTCCCATATAGAGTAAGAGGAGAGGCCTACCATCAGTGGCGGATCTAGCACCTGGCGAGCCCCAGCGGCCGCCCGTGCTTGATCTGTCAGGAGCACTTTTTTCTGTTGAAGATAGGTTAAATTTTTAGGTTATATAATTGGTAAGCCATTTTATATTAAAACATGCCTTCTAACTCATGTGGTTAGAGCCCACATGCATAAATTGGAAGTTGCGGGTTCGAGTTTCCTTACCTGCACATTTATTGTGAAATATTTTTATTCTACACTTTTTACCAAAAAGCAACATGAAGGGGACCTAAGGGATCTCGAACTCATGACCTTATGTGAGAGGAATTACAAACTTAACCATTGCAACACTTGCTTAAAGTTGGTAATTTTTTAACAAAATTTTATTTATTAGATTTCATCTAGTTTTAATGCAAGTAAAATTGTAAAAATTCGAACCAGAGCTATTCCTTTCAATTATATGAAACTTGGCAATAATGTCATCTGATGAGTCCAATTCATTTTTATAACAAAATTATATATGTTCAATTTGAACAAAATAATTGTTAAATTTAAACTTTAGGCCTTGTTTGATTCTCATTTTTTTTCAAAGTAAAATAAATAATATTATACGCAAATTCAAAATTTTTCTTTATTTTCAGCTACGCATTCTATATCGAAACATTATTTCGAAATGCATTTTTTCCAAAAAAAAAAAAGATGAATCAAACGGACTCCTAATATTTTATTGCGGCTGACGATAGACGATCAATGACCGCCCTTGCTAGATCAAGCTCTTGGATTCGCCACTGCCTACCATCCCTTTAGCTTTCTCTTTAAAGTTGAGGGACCAATTTAAGGGAAATATAGGACCAATACCCCTCCATACCACCTCCTCATGCTATCTTCTCTTTGGCAAAAGCTTCTCCAAAAATTAAACCGTGTTTAACTTTTTGTTATAGTTGCAATTTTGCAGCTCCATATCTACTAAATCGTCACGTAGCACTTGTATATCTAACGATTGTCAAACTTTATGAAGCTAAAATTTTGCATTTTAATTTGGACTAGTGCATCAAGAAATTTCAACAATTAAATAATAAATTAAGAGTAATGCTACACTTACAAAGGGGTTGACAAAGGTGGAAGACAAAATCACATCCACACCAAACTTCAAAAATAGATTTTTAAATCAGTTGAAATCAATGGTATGAATTTTGCCGACACACTTTATAACTCAACTTTGTATAAATAGCTTTATTGATAAATTAAACAAATTTTCTCACTGAAAGCTGATGGGTTAAGTTGATATTCTTATACAACCCTGGCATATTGTCCGAAACCTATTCACTTAAGCCTTGACCAAATACTAACAGCAGAATGGTGGGAGCCACATTTTTGAATTTTTTTATTCACACGGACTACATGCATTGATTTCATTGAAATGTCGTACTTCGTAATTAATCCAAGTGTAGTTTAAGAAATGAAGTTCTTCTTGTAGGCGCAGTGTACAGGCAACTCTTGTTCCCTAACATGTTGAAGCACATCCTGCGATTTACCTCCTTCACAAAGGGGCAAGGTGGTGAGGGCCTTCAAGATTGGGTTCAACCTTTTTTTAGAAATGAAGGTGGTCCAGAAAACCGAAACACAAAAGCCATAGGTGTCACAGTTTTCAACATGTTTGTACTGCTGATTAGGTATATGTTTAAAAGGAGTACTTTACTTAATAACATATTACTTAAAATGTAAAAATCGTTAGTAAAAAAATTTAATTTTAAAAATTATGTTTGACAAAATAAGTAATTTCATAGTAAGGAAAATTTGATCAATTAATAATGAGGCCTGGAATTATGGTTGGCATATTGCACAAGGATAAAGAAGTGCAGGCAGAGGGTGAATTTTGCCCAAAAGGGAGTGAATTTTTCATTAAATTCCATATACTACTTGAAGAATTTATTTACAAGACCAGAAAAGAAAGAGTGAAATAGAGAAAAGTCATTGATTTCAACTGAAATAGCAACCTAGAAATGCAATAAAATCACCTAATATTAAGTTTCAAATTAGTGATGAAACAGCATTTCGTGTCTTACTTATGTTTCTGGAAATAGTATAGTCAAGTATCGAGTCTTGTTGCATTTCCTGTTTCTGTGTTGGTGCAAACTAACTCAGGGTTCAGTTCAATCCACTCGTACCGTCCTTCCAGTGGTATGTCCTCCAGAATGTCAAAATTATACCTGCATTTATCGGAATTGTGCACGACTAAGAATTTTGAAGTTTGAATTCCATCTGCAAGGCGGAGGATGTGATAAAAACAGTACGGAAATGAATACAGTGAGAGTTACTTTTCTGTGAATTGTTTTTGGATATCTTTTTCAGCAGCGGCGAAGAATTCTTCGAGCTCAGTTTCCGAAGGCGTCTTCTGCATCGAACTGCGACTGCGAGAATTTGCCTCTTGTGGCCTCGAAGTCGACTCTAGCTAAGCTTCAACCTCGCTCGACGGAGTGGTTACTCTACTGAAAAGTTGAAAAAAAGGCAATGGATATTGAAGAGAATGATCAATAAAAATGCAAATAATTAATTTACCTTTCTCCACAATCCATAAGATCATATGTCCACGTTTCAACCTCCACAACAATCTCTTTCTCCTCCTGCAAATCAATATCTAGCTGTTAATCACTGGACAAAAAATTCGTGGAAAGTTCTCAGATTCACTCGAACATTGAATTAAACATTTACCTGTAGATCTTTAAATTTCGAATTCACTTTCACGACTTCAATCGATTCATTACTTGAGCAGCAAAATGCTAAAACATGATCGGGACTAACACTCTCGCGTGTGGAATTTCCGGAATCTGAATTCTCCGGCGTCATTATGCTTAGAGTTCGAGTTTCGAGCTGAACTAAGGATGTGGACAGCTCCAATTCTCCTCCATCAACTTTTCTCTTTTTACTGACCGACGTAGTGGCTGCTAGTGCTGCTCTAACTCTCGTCATTCTTACGCCATCCTCCGCAACCACCTCAGCAATTCTCTTACACCTTCTCATTGTCTGTCCTAGTTTTCAGTGAAAAACTCCAAAATTTGGAGAAAAATCACACGAAACGAAATTCATATGAATAATAATTAGTTCATAACATGCCAAATGTACGAAATTCCTCGAAAACTGTGTGATCCTTGGAGTCTGTAGAGGCTCTTTATGCTATGGTGCAACAAGATCAAGAGCTATGAACATTACGAAAAATCCTATTTTCTATCTCTACTCATTCGAGAATCTTGTGCAGTAGAGAATTTTCTGCCTTCAAATCGCCTTTTTCTGTTAGTAAGAATTTTGGAGAGAGAAAGAGAATGAGTGAAGGAGTGAGTGGGTAATGGACTAATGAAGATGATAATGGGCCATACAATTCCGTTGAGCGGTTCGGTTCGGATAGCCTTCTTATTTTGGCATGTCCTAACTCCGTTAACAATAACGGGATTCTTGACGGAGCCGTTACATAGATCTACCATGGAATAATTGAGTAAAATTTGCAACGTTTCCATTTATAACTTTATATTTGGAAACATTCAATGTCGGATAGTACCGTCATGTAGGATGTCACGTAGAATGACTACCGCATTAAGTGACTATGAATAACTTTACTCTCTATAACATCATAATGATTAAAATTGTGATAGCAGCGACGGAAAATTTGTTCTTTTGAATTTTCGAGAAGTCTATCAAAAATAACTGAAGATTTTTAAGTGAAAAGATACATTGAGTAGCAACATTTAGTCCATGTTTGATTTTGTTAAAAATTAGATTTTTAATAAATTTTCATAAACGTAGATAAAATTGTGGTTCACTGCACATGAAATATGTGATTATAAATGAATTTGGAGACAAATGAATTTTAAAAAATAGGGCAAAATTAGTCCTTGTTTCACTCAAATTCAATTACACATTTTTCAATTTATTTTTCTATATTTTTCAATAACCTATTTCTATTTTTTTAACCATATATTCCCAAAATAATAATAATAATAAAATCCACTTTTAAAAAGTCAGATTGATTATTTATTGATTTTTATTTTCTGTCTGGGAACAGGAATGTACAAAAGCATGTGGATTTTTATATGGGGTGGGCACTGAAAAATAAAAAAAGGATATTCATTAGAAGTACTTTATTATTTGAATAAAGCTTCATTTGCATTCAACATTGTACGTGAAGTTTGACATACTTTAAAAATTTAAAATGTTGTTGACGAGAAAATGTGTAGTTTTTAAAAACCATCTAATCATGCCATGACACATGACACAATGTCAAATTTAATGTCAAATAAAATGTACAAGCAGTATGATTGTTATTATTTAAGGCCTTGTTTGAGCCCTATTAATTTTTTGTAATGTATTATGGAATACTTCATCCGTATCAATTATATAGGCTTGTTTCATTTTTCACACTGATTAAGAAATCTTCTTTAATTTTATTGAAAAATTAATTTTTGTCAAAATCTTTCCTAGTTTACCTCTATTTAATTTTTAATATGTAGTAGTAAACTATTGTTGGAATTAGTAAACAATTTGAATGATTTAATTTGAAGAAGAAGAAATGAGAGTTTTGTTCAATATTTCTAAGAAGTGGGAATGTGTGTATTTAGATGATTTCAATAAGTTGGCATATTAAGTGGGAAAAATTGAATAAGGGTATATTGGTAAAGGAACAAAATAAAGTATTCTAAATTAAAGAACATGCATATATATTTGGGAAAAAGAGAAAAATGAAACTCAACCTATATAATTGGGACGGAGGGAGTAGTAAATTGACGGAAAATATGTGGATAAAAAAGAAAAAAATGATTTGCGTTTAGTATTATTTTAATGAAGAATGTGTGGTTGACAACGAGTACTGTAGAAAAAATAATGAAAAAAAAAGGGCTCAAACAGGGGCTAAGTATTTATTTTTATTTTTATTATTTTTTTGGTCTACCAATAAAAACTTTCGCTTATTTTTCCAAGTTCATTTTTTCAAGACTATTGATGTCAATCAAACAAATATTCTATAAAGAAATTTTTGACATAAGAAAAGAAAAAGATTGAGACCATTGCACATAAATGGTTTGACAACGTGTACTGAATCATAAAGATGAATTAGTATTTAGTATGTACACATAAGTGTAACATAAAAAATGTAGCAAACCAAATGAAAGTCTCTTTTATTGGGACCATTAAACTTACACTCTTTTAGCAAACCAGTTAATGGACTATAGTTGTTGCACTTTCACGGGGTACGTGGACTATAGTGGTTACTAATATGTAGCATTTAAGTTCGAAAGAACTCGACGCAATTTTACCCTCACAAATTATCTTTAATGACTTGTGAATTGTGATATGGATGTGTATTCCTATGTAGATAAACCGTGCCGCGTTGAGTTTCTATGCCCGTCCCTGCCAAACTTGAACTATAATTCAATCAAGTAGAGCTTACTAAATTGAATTAGTTTATTACAATCAAACAAGTAGTTAGTTTATCATAATCGAAGTAAATAAGAATAGAGTTATCTTTACCGACTTAACATCTAATTGTAGAAAGTATCAATTGTAGGAAGAGATTCGAAAGAGAAATTCTGCCTAATGAATGGTCGATAGAACTATTTAAATATGAAAGGTGTTGTCTAACTAAGAGACTATAGAGAATAGAATAAGAGAATTGGGAAACTCAAAATTATTTGTGTGTTTCATTGAAATTTAAAATCACTAACTTATAGGATATAATTAGGACTTCATAGATATAGTTGTCATTCACAATAGTATTCAATTAATGACACTTCATCTAGAATGACTAACATACAACCTATGTCTCGTTAAAAACTTTATTTTAACAAAAATTTGATAGAAAGAAATGCCTAACGAATAAAAAAGTATGGTTTATCCATTCTTATTGATTTATTATTATTTTGAGCAGATATTTACTTACTTTAGGTTAAATTTGGTTAATTGTAAGAAATTCCTAACTAGGATATAATCGCTAGCTTAATTGAAATTAATTTGAAGCAATTGAAGATAATCAAAGTGTAAGAGATCAACTAAAAATACTAATGGAGCATTCGGTAAAAATTCATAAGTTTCGAGAGTTAAATTCAATATTTGAAAAGTTTGAGGACTAAATTGCAAACTTTAGAACTTGCATTGCACCAACTATAATAATTTTAGAATGAAGATGAGTTAACTGCAATATTAGAACATAAATGACTAAAATAGCATGGGAAAATGAGTTTAATTGGAAAATGGATAACTATGGTAATTGAGATTAAGGGAATAACTATGGTAAAATTATGAATTTTAACACTTAAACCAACATATTAAAAAAATCTCTTCTATTCGTTTTAGTATATTTAAAATAGAATCACACGAAGAAAAATAACTACTTTATTTGTTTTCGATCAATTTGAAGTTAGAAATAATTGAATAAATTGTTATATAGTAATTCTTGTTGGAATGATATTCGAACTCATATGTTCACTTTATTACTTTTATGATCTGTACACTTGCTGGATATAAAAATCGACAACATTTTTAAATAAATAAATTCGAAGTAATCAAATGCTCATTGTTAAAATTTTGTCAAAAAAATTTAAGGGGACAAAATCTAAGTGAAGGAAAAAAGTATTGCAACTATCCCCGATTTCAATATATCAAAGTCTTGTGAGTTAATGTCACAATTCTAGTGAAATATGTTCCATATTGTCTTGTTATAGTATTCAAAAAATATCATCTTTATGGTGGTTTTATGAAAAATATATTTTATTGGGGCTCTCTTCAAAAGACTTGTATACAATTTGTAAAATATGAGAATTTGATATTGGAGGTAAATATATTTTTAAGTTATGAGCATTCATTGCACCAAAATATGACTTGTTAAAACCTTTTAAGGAACATTCTATAGAAAAAATCCTTGTGAAGAAAAAAGAGCACATTATTCTTAAATACATTATAAAAATTGTCTCATTAGAAACTTGTCAAGAAAATTCAATCGATAAAACATTTGTGAAGGAAAAAGAATACATATGCATTACTTCCCCTTATGATAATATCACTTGAATTCTATTTATTTTATTTATCAACTTCTCAAGTGTTGAAGTAGAAGATATCTTTATCAATATGTGGGTAGTGATGGCTCGGCTCGGCCCTTTGGCTCGTGAAAAATGAGCCGTGCTTGAGCCGGCTCCTTGCTCGGGAGCGAGTTCGGCTAGGCCCACAAGTCGCTCGAGAGCTCGTGTGTTTTTTTGTTTTTTTTTTTTTTAATTTTTTGCACATTTTTGCACCTTTTAAAAAAAAATTCATATTTTTGGACGAGGCTCGTGGGCTTGTCAAAATGCCTTGTGGGCACAAGGCCCACGAGCCGCTCGTGGGCTCGACGAGCCGAGTAAAATTGAGTCCCCTGCTCGACTCGGGCTCGGGATTAGCTCGTGCCACCCACAAGCGGTCGAGCCAATGAGCCTCTCGGCCTGTTTGACATCCCTATATGTGGGCCAGATAAATCATCATAATAGCCGCATGTGAATAGATAAATCTTGTCCATCCATTTTGACGGTCCAGATTGGCTGAGTGTCTGAATCGCATATTTATCCTTTAATATGTAATTAGGGTATGAGAGTATATTATTGTGGTTAGGGCTTTTGTTTCTGTCCTTCATTTCCTCTGTAATTCTGGGTTTTCATTTTTGTTGATTCTTCTTCTTCTTCGCTATTAGAACTTTGTGTAGATTAGCATACATATATCATGTGTTGATCATAGGGTTGAGGAATAAAATAGAAAGAGAAAGTTGAGAGGTGTTTGGTTCAATGATCTCATTTATTGAGAGATTCGTGCGAACTTCTTGTACATTCTTGAGACATATTTTGTTGATTTTGTGCAGATAAGCATCCATATATTGTGGAGCTCCCAAGATGTAGGTTTGAGTCAAACACCGTGAACCATTTTCTAATGTTCTTTACTTTTTGTATTATTGCAATCGCTTGGTTTTGTATATGCTAGACAAAACACTTCCCGCGCCTAACAAACATGTTTAGATGAGAAACTGTAATTTGACTTTAATTTTGGTAAAAATGGGCTTAAATCATATAGTGAACCCATATTTTTTATTTTAACAATGGAAAATTTCATAATTAAGAATTTAATCATACATTTCAAAATTAAGAAAACAAGTCATACATTTCAGAAATCATATATTCATTAAATTTTATTTATAATTTAATTAATTTTATATTTTATTAATCAAATATATTAAAGTCACGGATCTATACAATTTGGTCACAGATTCACAATTTAATTACTCACATATTATCTTTTGGTCACATATCAAAATTTTTATGTCAAAATTATTTTATGGTCACAATTCAAAACTTTTGTAGATCACAAATTTGTTCGTCGGTTACAAATAAAAAATTTATACGTCAGAATTTATTTATGTCACAACTTATTAAATAGTCACAAATTATTAATTTTTTATGTCACACATTATTTTTCTGGTCACAATTTATCTTTCTTATTGGTCACAAATTAACCAATTTAATAGTCACAATCAACCAATTAATCTTTGATCATCACCAAACAATCACTGCCACCTGCCGCTGTCGTCGGCACCACCACCATGATACCAATAACACTACCACTGTAACACCAACAAAACCATAGCTTCAACCACCACAACCCATCACGACATTACCAACAACACCATAGCTTTCACCACCACAACTTACCACCACTATCACGGTGAACATCGCACAGATCGACGCCTCAAGCACCGCTGCTGCTTCCATTTTCAGATCGACCACCCAAAAACCATCGCGACTGTTGCGACGAACACCGCATTAATCAACGCCTCAAACGTTGATGCTGCTTCCATTTTCAAATCGATCACCCCAAAACTACCGTGATCGTGCACAACGAACACATCGATGCCTAACAGCAGTGTCGTGAACACTGCTACAACCTGGAATTACAACGCTACCTACACCACCGCCACACACTGCCATACCACGGAAAACACCACCGCTAGATCCTCCACCACAACACCACATCCACCACCATGCAACCACCACACCACACCACATCCACCTGCATTTTCTTCAGGAAATAGAGAGAGTGCAAGACGAGAGAGAAATGTAGAGAGAGAGAGAGAGAGAGAGAGAATTGTGAATTAATTAGGGTTTGTGTGTGCAATGGAGTATATATAGTTAGTAAAAATATTTATTTTAAACAAATATTAATTAAAATAAAACATCAGATTTTTTAAAGATTAAACTATCCATTTTATTTTAGAATTGTAAATTTTAAAAGTAGGGAATTGTGTAATTTCTACTTTTAACAAATAATTTTGTTGACTTGTCGTAATAGCTAACGTCATTCAATGACACATTTACATTTAAGGCACCACGCAAAATTTAAATACTATTTAGGGTTCATTTGGCTAAACTTAAATTCTACTTAAATACTCCTCGCCAAGAAGTTTGTGCCACTACCCTCTATGGGGACGAATTAAAAACAAAGAAAAAATCGATAAAGAGTCGAAGACTCTTTCAAATGAACTCTGATATAGAATTAAAAAGGAAAAAAAAAAGGGGAAAAAGAAAAGGCTCAATAATTAAGTTTTGGATTTTTTGATAGATATCTTATTTTCTCTCAAAGGTGAATACCAATTTTCTCTCGTTTGTCTTTTCGCACGAGTTTCGAATCCTTTTGACATTTTCATCAAACGAAACAAGTTGACGAGATTTTTGGACATAATATCTCTTCCTATTCGCGCAAATTTTATTATCTACCTATTCTCATCAAAATCCTAGTTTATTTAGCCCCTGTTTGATTCCCATTTTTGGGATAAAATGAATTATGGAATATTAATTTTTTGGAGAATGTGTGGTTAAAAAGTAAGGAAATTTTTTTGAAATTCGTGTATTATTATTTTATTAAAAAATGTATAGTTGAAAATGAATTTTGAAAAAATGCATTCTTAAAAAAAAGGGATCAAACAAGGGCTTAAACGATTTAATCTTTCTCGTCAACTTTGCATTACCCATAGGACACTTTAAAATAAGGGCAATGCTGACATTTTGCATGACTAAAATACTACAATAAATTTTTTGAAGAAAGAAAAATTTCGTTTCAGAATTTTTTTTTTTTTTTTAAAAATTGGAAGTTGGAAAGATTTCTTATAATTGAGTGGGAAAACTACAACTTTAGTTAACTTACGCACCATGTAGCAAATAGATCCTCATTATGTTATTTTTTGTCCTTTAGATCCTCTCTTATGATGCTCGTTGAATAGTATTCCCTCTGTCCCACAATGATAGATATTTTTCCCCATCTATTTTAAGGGTGAACGCGGTTCGATTTAAAAGATTTGTGCTATATTTTCAACCCAAACCATTTTATGTGTGCTATATTTTCAACTTAAACAATTTTATGCGATTTGAAATTTTTTCAAACCAAATCAAACCATTTTGTTTTTCGAACCAAACCATAATTTGCGGTTTGATTCGATTTTAATCTGCGGTTTACCTTTCGATATTATAGTAATGTATTTGACATAAGTTAACTATAAGTTTAAACGAGAACTAATAAGGTTAAATTACATTCATATTTTCAAAATTGGTTGCTAAAAGATGTTAATAGAACAAATATATTTTTCTTCATTTTTATTTACCTTTTCTTGTTTGACATTCATATTGTCATATAACGGTTGGTAAATGTAGTAGAGTTATATTCTGTTATTATAGTTTGGTTAAAATTCATTTCGTCTTGCTAGTGAGATGTTAAAGAATGATTGAACGGGATATGTTTAGATGTATAGAGATTGATAGAGTTTTGACTTATTGAAAATTGACGAATTTCATCATTTAACTACTTTATGGAAGTAGAAAATAGTAGTATTAGTTAGAAAACTCTAACATTTTCACACAATCAATAAGCCATGTCCTTCATTATTTTCAAATCACAAACAAGTTCATTAATCATCTAAACACACAAGCAATCAATTTTCTATCTAAACCACAACTCACAAGTGTATAATAAATTAAAAAAACAAATAAAAGAAAGAATAATGAACAAATGGCTTGAATAAGAATCAAAAATTTATTGAAAGAAAAGAGAGAAAGAGGTGATTCAAGTAGAGATTACTAACAGGCAAAGGCGATTGACGGTTCGTTCAGTAGTGGTAGATAATAGTCAAATGTTAGGTAAATAAGAGTTTATGTTAGGACTTATAAAACTTTAGACATGATTTGCTGATATAATTTTGTTAAATATGATTTGGATCGTTGAAAATATATGATTTTTTTTTTATTTCATATGATTTTGGAATAATTTTAGTTTAGTTTAGATATCGGGTACAGACATATGTTATGAACCTGTTAAATTATAGGTCAATAATGATGAAGCTAATTTATTTTTTATGATTATTTCAATGGATTGATTGTAATTTGTATTGCTAAATTGATATATATATATATATTTTAAAAAAAAGTGAAAACTATAAAATTTTTAAATTAATAAAATTAATATTTTAATTAAAAATTTTCAAAACGATTTGGTTCGATTCGAGGGAAAAGAAACCACGATTGCACATGGACCCGAACCAATGGTTTCAATTTAACGGTTTTGATTTGGCTTTCGATTTCGCAATTTTTTGCGCAGCCCTAATCTATTCCAATTTATAGACTACTTTCCTTATTGAGAGTACAATTATTTCCTTAATTTTCTAGTATCCTCCTACATAATGTACATTATTATTAACAAATATGAATTACTCTTATTTAAGCCATTACTTAATGTAGGTTTTGAATATTAAAAAATATACGAAAAAAGTTGTATTTTTAACTATATTAATTACCCTGTCTTAATTTGTGTTAAAAAAAAAAGAAAAAAATTATCTTAATAGGATGAAGGGAGTAGTTCCAAAGTTACATAGACAAAGATTGCCATAAAATCTCCACGCGACGCTCACGTGCGACTTTACAAAAGGTTAAACCGTCATAACCTTTAATGCCATTATGTTTGTTGGAAAAATATGGTGAAGACCGGGAAACATGGTCCTCTATTTCAATCAAGCTACGAGTCTACTCTAATCTTCCGCCTAACTCAAAGAATAAATAATTAAAAATTCTCTTGCCTAACTCATCACATGCCCCCCAACAAAATCCAAAATCTTATAACGACATCAGCATTGCCCTTCGGTCCGCCTTAAATCGCGTGTTTTTATTTTAAAACAATGTTACACTTATGCTGTGTTTGATTGTCAATATTTTTTTATGAAAAATATTATTTTTTTACTAAAATTTTTATTTTTGTACTCTTTGATTAATTTTTTTTCATGAAAAATATTTTTTTACTTTTAATCACGTGACTATATTTTCTATGAAAACAAGGAAAATATTTTCTTTAGGGAGAATATATATATATATTTTTTTCAGATAATTCACTCTATATTTTTTTCTCTTATCTATCTACTCTCTTTCACATCTACCTACCGATAAAAAATGGACAAATATTACATTTTCTAAATTAAAAATAAAATTAATCAAACACATCTGATTGACAATTTCATGCAAATAATTTCTAAACAATTCAATTACCTGTAATTTATTTTCTTGTCATGTAAATTCCATTTTGCAATCAAATACACACCCTTACAGAAATAGTTTCAGAAAAGAATTATTCTTAATTTTATTAGGTACGGTGTTGAACTCTCGACTCTACTTCATTGCATTACCCTATTATTAGGTACAAAAATACATGCCAAATCAAGATCAAAATCTATTCAGGTTAAATCTATCAAGGGCCATCTAACTTTATATTTAGTGTCATTATGGCCATCAAATTTAATTTTGTTTCACCATGACACTTGTTATAAAGTTGGATGGCCATTTGATGGATTTAACCCAAATCTATTCTTAATAATTACGAATTGTGCTACATGAACATAACAATTTACATAATAGTCTACCAACAAATGATGTGGCAAAATTTAATTGGATCAAAATATCATGAACCAAATAACTTTCTCGCTTACATTTTGACACATCATCATTATCTAAAATATTATGTAAATTGTTATGTAAAAGAAGCATTTTACATAATTAAAATACTATTTTAATCTGATTACAGTTATTTTGAAATAAAGTATTTCAGAAGAGACTCGGCGAAGGAGAAGAAGTTGACGGTAAGGAGGAGTTGCCCCGGCTGTTAGCTTTTATTGCTCCGTCCTTAACGAGAAACTCTGCTGTGCTCAATTTTACCTGTATATGTAGTATATATGGGCATTCTGGGAAGAATCCTTTGATTTTTTGTGTTTTTCTTGGGAGATATAATGGCCGAAGCAATCTGTCTCTTTACCAAGGTTGGTTCTTTATTTTTTGATTTTTTATGGGTTTGAGTTCATTCGAGTTATGTTGTTGATTCAAGAATTTATCTTTTTCTCGAAGGGCATGTTTTATCTTCAACACTGGAATTTTTTATTTTGTTTGTTTCTTCTTTAAATATAAGTTCTTAGCTGTTTTTCTTCCTTACATAGTTCAATATGGACAATCTGTTGAAATTTATGTTTATTCTTTGGTGGGTTGGGATGAATTTGAGTGAGAGGGTTTGACTTGGAGTTATGTCGGTGTTGATTCAGGCATTCAGCTTTATCTCTTTTGGCATGGAAATGGAAATAATTTATCTTTTTTCTTCTGTAGTATTACTTTTTTGGTGGTTTTCTTCCTTAATATCATTCAATGTGGAAATCTATTAGAATTTATGCTTATTCTTTGGTGGGTTGGGATGAATTTCAGTGAGATAATTTGAAGTAGTAAGCTATGGCCTGTGGGAGAGGAAACTTGAATTTGTTTCTACTAATCTGAGTGAAAGTGACATGCTTGTTTTCTAATTTTGAGTTGCTTTTGAACCTCGCCCTACCACCACCCTATCCCACCCCCAAATTTCTGCCATACAAATTGGACATGATGGTTTGTATGTTTTTTCTCTGTAATTTTAATGTAGTGACAGTGGCTTTAAATGGATTTCAGGGCACCATAATTATAAAATCTCCCAAGAAATCCCCAGTTTTTTTGAGGATGATAGTGTTGGTATTTGCAATGGTGTGTGGTGTATATATATGCTCTGTCTGTCTAAATCAAACAAATTTTGGCACCACCAGTAAATTGCTAAATGTTGAAATAAACAAGAGGCATTGTTGTGATTATGAAGTTGATCGATCCCAAACTCCATATGCGCACTATCCAAAGCCTGAAACCTTTAGTAGGTACACCTTTAACTTTTCTTAGGCTATTAATCTTCGTTCTCATGTTTCGTTGGATCTCATGCTGATTTCTTCTGTATAAGCTAGGGCTGAATGTGCGTGTAATCCTGTACGGTACTTTGCTACTTTTTCAATGCAAAGATCTGGAAGTGGATGGTTTGAGACACTGTTGAATAGCCATACTAATGTAAGCTCCAATGGCGAGATATTTTCTGTCAAAGAGAGGAGAAATAATGTTACATCAAAATTGACAACTCTTGATAGAGTTTATAATCTGGATTGGTTTACCAGTGCTTCCAAGAATCAGTGTTCTGCTGCAGTCGGCTTCAAGTGGATGCTTAATCAGGTTAGATATCATATAATTCATTATCAAAGTGCCTAAATAAATTTGAGTACATTGAAGTGAAGCCCTTCTTTTGCATTTGGAGAGCAAGTAGGGGAACCAAAATGATACTCTTTTTAGACACTGCCCTTACGTTTGTCTAATGGTAGACTGTTTAGCTTTAGCAATTAAACAGAAACTTAAAGCTTATGAAGAGAAGAGACTGTAAAAGACAGTGAGTCATTCAACCTTGGATCAATTTAATATTGGCAAAGAGTTCATAGCACTATGTTTTAGTTTAGGGAGGGCGTTGTAGGACTTACCAAGGATGCATTACAGTACACATGGATTGTCTCTAAATGAGGTTTAATGAACTCAGATGGGACAACTTTTTTATAGATCCGAAGGTTTTTGAAAATCGGCGCGAACTTATACTATTAGAAGATCGATGAGTGACCTGTGCTTGTGGACAATAAAAATTTGGTAACCGATACTTATTATAGCTCATAGTTTCTTGAAGTACACAACATAATATTCGGGATACATATTTAATGATATGGGAGTATCTTGAAAATAAATTGTTTTAGGGGGTAGCAGGAGCCTCCTTAGAAAATGCATCATGCAACCTGTTCTGTAAAATAATCCTCGTTCCCTGTGGTTCTTTTATTTATCGCCTTGTGTTAGTGGAAGTTTTTGTTTTGACAAAACACGCAAGAATACGGGATCATTGACAAGTAATAAGGAATATGATGTAGGATTAGATAATCACAAACACAGAGCCAGTTACATAGGAGGAGAGGGGGAAGTAGAAACCAGGGAGGAAAGATGAAGAAGAAGGAGGAGAGAAGAGAAGGGCGGTGGAAGTCTGCAACATTCAGTTTTCATTTCATTCCATCAAATCTGCTCCCCATGCATAGAGGGCTGCAAACTTTATACAAAACAAAGTATAAAAGGGCTTGGGCCAGCCCAAAACATGATACAAGCCCAAAAACAAAATAAAAGGTTTGGGCAAGCCCAAAACATAATACAAGCCCAAATAAAATACTAACTAAATAGTCCAAGTTAGATGTCCTCATTATCTCTCCCGGGGTGGGACAAAAACTCGACTCTGTCGAGGGAATAACTTATAAAAGGCTGCAGTCAGTTGCTCAATTCTCCCATCCCGGGAGAGTTGATGCGGACATCTCAGTCTATTTAGTTTTGGGATGGGAGAGTTGATGCGGACATCTCGGTCTATTTAGTTTTACTTCATGTTATTTAATTATGTCTTTTTTCACTTTATTGGACTTGTCTAGCGGGTCTAGTCCAAGCCCATGAATGTTAGGTTTTATTCTACTATTTATATGGTTTTTAGTTGTAATTACAGGGGGACGATGATGGAATGAAATGTTATTGTGTTTGGCTTGCAGTCGTTTCCTCCCTTGCTTCCCCTTCCCTTCCCCTGGTTTTCTTCTCCGGTTCTCCCCCATTTCTTGTTGCCTTCTTCTTCTTGGAATTCTTCTTCTGGTCCCTTCTTTTATCCTGCATCAGAATAGTTGTAATTATAATTTACCAATTTCTACCAAATTCAATGATTGTAATACAAAATAGTTGATTTTTGTTGTATCTAAATTAACTATGACTATGTAAATATATAACTTTTATAAAATAATGTAATGAATGTATTGGAATTCACAATTCACCTATTGATTTCTATTTCCCACTCTCAAATCATGTAAATTAGTGTTTTTCAAGTATTCATGACAATTGATAATCCACTTATCGTTAACCTTCTTTTTCAGCATAAATTAAATCTATCGTAATCACGACTCGACCTTATTCCTAGTTCGAATTCATATGTGAAGAGATGCATTCAATCACACGATTATCTACCTAGATTTCACACAGCATAAATGTTATTCGTAACATGCATTGCTCATGGTCAAATATGCAATATTCTAACTTATTATAAGTCTCCCTTCTATAATAAGCAACTTATTGTTTAAATGATGATAGAGTATTTAAACAATAAAATAGCATGCATAAGTGATCTTTGAATTAAAAGGCGTTCAATAGGTTTCATCATTTATCCAATACGTAAGAATTTTAGCCTAGCATTATGATATTCAAATTATACAAAAGATATTGAAAAGACATCACTTGTATAAAATAACTAGAAGTTCTTCAAGCTTAACTTCTTCAACAATTGACTTCAATCCAAGCCTTAAATCTTCAATTCTTATTGTGGAACTCTTGTTTTCCTCTTGCTGGACTTCTTCAATGATAAAAACTTGGAAGTTCACGTTTTGGACCAAGCTTAGGTTATATAGAATGCTAGAAGATACTAATCCAAAACTTGCTAAACAAAGAAAAGGAAGTAAAATTTTTCCCAGAGTTGAACTAGGCACGTGCCTAGTTGTAAGTGAGGCATGTGCCTCTAAAGGCATTTTGAGCTTCTGGCTGTCGAAGGAGAGGTTAGGCATGCGCCTAGTACAAACTAAGGCGTGTGCGTGGCTTTGTTTCTGAGCAGCAAACGGTATTTTTGTTGTAACTTTCTCTCTCAATAACTAATTGAAGTGATTTAAAGTGTGTTGGAAAGATAACTTAAAGAGCTATCGTTATTTTAGAGGTATCATTTTTCCAATTCGAACGTTTACTATGTAAAAAGTGGGTCTCAATCAGAGGTTGAAAATTCGAAGCGTAACTTTTTTAGCTGAAAATTGATGTTTGTTAATACTTTGACCATATTTCATCCATTTGACTTCTCTTCTTTTTCAGCTGAAAATTGATATGTGTTAAATACTTTGATCATATTTCATTCATTTGACTTCTCTTTAGCCATTTTTCTCCAATTTTGCCTTTTTTGTTGATTTGTACCTAACAAACACAATGCACATAGAATTAAGCCATAATTTATCAAAATAATCAATAAATACTCTAACTTAAAGGCTCAAATAAATGCACAAAATACACTTGTCAATTTCCTTGTGCAGTTTTATTACCCCTGTTAAACAATTGACGTTTCTCAATTTTTTTGGGAATTGATGCTATATTGACTACTGAATTAAGTATACAAGTAGGACGGATTGAAAGAAAAGATTTTGTAGTATGTTGATTGATATATATCATGCTATAAAGTAAATTCGGATGAGAAAAGGAGGTACCGCTGATTAATATTCTTAATATCAAAGTGGTTCGCAAATATTCCAATTTTTTGGCATAGTAAAAGTGGTTGAATGCATTTTCGGTAAACAATACTATGTGCCGCTGGTGTAATGTGATGCATTTTTTCTTCATGACACAAGGCATATGCCTAGAGGAAGTGTAAAAAATTATTAAAATGCAAAATAAGTGCATAATAAATCATAAGCAATATTCAAATTCATAAACAAATGAAAAAAATCTATAAAGTAACAAAAAAGAAAATGGTTTTTTTAGTTGGTTGGCAATCGACTATGCCCAAGGTGGGTCTGAGAAAAACCAATGTTAATGTTTTAGTGGGGCATCCGGCTACTCCTCTGCTTGGCAGAAGTCTAATGTACAGTCACTGGAAACATTATTTTTACTTTAAAATTTATTCTTGTCATCCCACGTTTTCAGTTGATAGTGTTAACCAGGGAAAAATGTTTATCTATATTGTTATTTGTGGCTGATACAGGGTTTGATGGAGAACCATAAAGAGATTGTTCAATATTTTGACAATAGAGGCGTGTCTGTAATATTTCTCTTTAGAAGAAATCTGTTACGTCGGATGGTTTCAGTACTTGCAAATTCCTTTGATCGATATGCAAAACTTCTGAATGGAACTCACAAGTCTCATGTGCACTCTCTTGAAGAGGTACCCCCAATGGTCGCCCATTTTGTTCCCCAGGGGGATGCATTAATAAGATTGTGAATTTTTACCTGCTTCTTGTAGGCTGATACCCTTTCAAGATATAAGCCAGTGATTGATTTATCATCCCTGGTAGCGGATTTAAAGCAAATGGACCAGAGAGTATCGGAGGCCTTGGAGTATTTTAGCAGCACTCGGCACATCAGACTGTACTATGAAGATCTTGTGAAAAATCGAACTGTAGGTTGCTTCTTCACATCACAAGGGACTGTTGATATATAATTATGGATAGTTATAAGTTTGCTAAATATATCATTTTTCTTTGCAAAACTTTACAAAATTACTGCAACCGACATCCTTTACCTGGGCTAGGGATTGGCCATGAAAAACATAGGCAGAGTTATCAAATTTTAACAGTTCATAAATAATTTTAAATTCTTGCTTACATTTTTACGATCATTTTTGACTTTGCTTGGATATCTTTTTTCTGCATGTCAAAATTATTATAACTTTTCATATATAGTTATAAGATTTGATTACCCGCAATGCTTTAGTCCCCGTGTTGTGAAAGTTTACAGTCCCGTGCCTCATTGCATTCACTTATGTCGCAGAAATTGGTTGATGTTCAAGACTT